TTTCTGCCCGGCCCCCTGTGTTGTCTTTAGGATATCGTTCTGCTTTTGTTTTGCTACGAGAATGGAGAAATGCGAACAATACGGTGCAAAGGCACGCGGCTGCAGGCTGCTGGAAATAGCAGCTCAAAGCAGCACAATCTGTTCTCCTGCTCTGTGGGATGCTAACTTTGAAATGGAGCAGGGCTGCTGCACGCAGGATGCAATAGTAAGCTAACTGACGGGGTGCTGTGCTAATTGCATTAGTCATTTATATCCTCGACTTGACAAAATCTCCATGCTTAGCCTGGCCGGCGCGGGTGTGCTCAAAATACGTGGCGTGTGCCTACGTGCAGCCGTTACAGGCTGTGGAAAGGGCTGGACGGACATGAGAAAGCAGCCAGGATGTCCCCGAGAGGCTGAGAGCAGGAAAACATGGGAGGGAGGAAAAAGGGTTCGGTGACAACCCGACAGGGGTGGCAATGCCACCGTGTGTGACAAGCAGGGATGCTCCTGCACCAGGCAGCGCAGCTCTGCAGGCAGCTGGGAGAGGGTGGTGGGGAGAGAGCAGAGCCCTGCGTCCCCCCACAGCCCCACAAAGCTGCTAAAACCCTAAAGCCCCCTTACCCGCTCTGGCTGGCACAGCGTGGTTCCGCTCCTTAGGACCGGGGCCCGAGGCATTAGCCTGGCTTGAAAAGCCATCATCGCTTCCAACCAGCATGGCTGAGGCTTCAGAGTTGTGAACAGGTAATAGAATTGCAGCAACAAATAATAAAAAGAGGAATGAAATGGAAGGCAGCCACTGGAAAAGAGATCTATCCGTTATCCCGGCCTGAAGGGTAATAGGTAAACAAGGCGTTTGGGTACCGGCTGGCGCACAGCTCGCTGGCACAGGAATAATAAACAGCACAATTATAACTTCTGCACTCGGAGGGGAAAAAAATCAATAGTGTTAATTTAACTAGTTAGAGACTTACCATTAGTGATGCTGCAGGGGCAGCGGGACGGCCTGGCCGGGGCTGGCACCAGCAAAGCCCCTGCCTGGCTGTGCCCCTGTACCCACCCAGCACCCACCCTGGTCCCACAGCACCCACGGATGGGGCATGGGGGGCACTGGGTGTGCAGTGGGGCACGAGGCGGGGACCCAAAGCCCTGCGCCGAGCTGTCAGCACGCCCCGCCGTCGCGGTGCTGGTTTATTAAGGGCTGAGAAGCGGCGAGGGGAAGGAGTGACAGATTTAAAATTAACTTGCCAAACTCCCCATCAATATTATGACAATTCCCCAGTTCGGTTCAGCGACCCGGCGTGCTGCCTGACAGCCTCAGCAGCGCTCGGCGGCACCGCCGGCTGCCTGCCTGCAGCGCTGGGATGTGGGCACCCCTTAACCCCCCAGCACCTGGCTCAGTGCCCCCCAAGAGCCCTCCATGTCCCTTCCAGCTCGGGATGTTCAATGCTAGGACACAGGTCTGTGCTTTCCCATCCCCAAAGCGGGGAAGCAGCAGCTCCAGGCAGGGCTCTGGGAGGCTACGAGGGCTGCTTGGCAGAGGGATGGAGCTGCAGGAGGGTGCTCAGCATGGCACAGCAGCCCTGCATCCTTCAGAGCCATCCTCCCTAGCTAGGATGACGTGAAAACACTTGGAGCTCAGCTTTTTATTTTGTCTTGCACCGAGCACCAAGAAGCAACGGAGCACGGACACAAAGCCTCTCCCCACTCAGCCACCAGGCACGCACCCTGCTCCTCCCTGCAGCCATTTCAGCCACTTTTTTCCCCAGCACCCCAAAAATCCCTGGCTTCAGTGTATCCCTGCTTGGGGGGGGGGACCTTGGGCTCCCCTGTTTTGCAGGGCGAGCTGGAGCGAGAGCCCCCAGGAGGGTTGCGCTGCGCGAGTCGCGTGGGCTCCGGCATCCCATGCGCCGTGCGGTAATAAGCTAGCGAGTAAAGCTGGCTCCACGGGTAGTAATTTGGGTTTCCTACATATAACGGCGTAAAAGCAACAGGCTGAAACCGCCAACAGCACTTAAACAAAAAATCTCTATTCCCTCGTGGCAAAGAGACAGCACAAAACAGATAAGGAACTAACAAACAACCCATTTGGAAAATAATCCCCCGGTGATTTGGGCACCGCGGAGCCGGGGCTCTGCCCCACCGCGAGGCAGTGGGGGAAAACAGCTCTAATCTAGTCCTTAGCAAGCTGGATCCAGTGCTGAGCCTCCCGGCTAAACCCAGAGGTGTGACTGGAATAGATCAGCTCCGATCCCATTTAGTTATTAATATTTCAGGGCACTTTGCCAAAGAGAAGAAAAAAATGGGAAGAAAAAAAGAAAAGAAAGAAAGAGGCACCCAGAAAAAGCGGGCGGCTCCGAATGAGCACGGAGCTGAACGGGAGAGTTGCAGGGGAAGGAGCGAGGGGTGGTAATGGGGCACAGCTCCTGCTCCATCACCACACCAAAACATCATCCCCGACCTGAAATAAAGCCCCGAGCAGGGGAGGGAGGTGCTGGCGGTGACACCGCGACAGCAGCAGCGGTGTGGAGAGCTCCTCCACGAAGAAACCTTGACACTGGCTTCTCCAGCAGGTCGGGTGAGCAACGCAACCACCACAGGGCTAATTAACAGCTAGCGAGCCAGCTCAGCACCCGGAGAGCTGGAGGCAGAGCTGCCTGACACCAGCACAAAGGGACAGGGACGGGGCAGGGACAGGCTGCGGGTCCCAGCACGGTGCCACGGCACGGGGTGTCGGTACGGGGCACGTCCAGCACACACCAGCAGGGACAGACACATTGGAGCGGGTGCCCCGCTTCACAAACACCCAACTGCCTCACCAAACACCCTGCCTGCTGTGTCCTGAAGGTGCCAACCCCATCCTTCAGAGCCAGCTGGGCAAAATAAAGCCACCGCTGCTCCACCAGCCCCGTCCCCGTGCTGCGGCCGGCAGGGGCCATCAGCACCGCAGGCTGCTGGGTGACAAAGGGAGCACCCAGCCCCGATGGGATGGGGACAGTGCTGTAACTGCTAGGCGTTGCCCACCACAGCGTGTAAGAGACACCGCTGTTAGCAGCACAAAGGCTTCCTCCCAGCCCCATGCTGGCATGCCTGGCGGATGGCGAATATCCTATTTATTAGAGACACTGAAGATGCGGCAACATGGGAAGCAGACACCATTCAAGGGACTGTCACATCTGCATAGCTAAAGGATCCCAGTGGTTATAAATCCCTCTAAAATACTCAGCCCCTTGTTCTGATAGCAGGTTCTTGCTCCTACTTTGCAGAAACAGGCTTTTAATCCCTGGTATTAGGCAGCTTCCTGCTATGTTTCAAATGCACCAAATTAAGGGCTTCTCTAACAGCTGGTGTCTTAATGCTCAGAGAGGTTCTTGAATATCTATGAAAATCAGAGGCAAATTACATCTTTTAGTTAATAATTTCTTCTCCATTAACCTCCTTCTCTTCCCTTGTTAGCAGATGATGTAATGGTGCTCCTGCCGCCGAGCCCTCCGGCGCACGGGGCTGTGGGGGGGACGCGGGGAGCCCTCCTCGTCGCCACCCGGCACTGCTGGGCTCAGCCCCCTCCAGCCCGCTCCTTCGGGGTCATTCCGCAGGTTGCTCGTGGTGCAGAGCTGTTTTCTCCTGCCCCCAGGTCTGGTAGAGCCTGCAGCAGCCCCCAGCTGATGGCAGGCAATGAAAGCCCCGTTGGCCGCGCTGAGGACCCAGCTCCCACCGCACAGCCCCTCGCTGGCAGATCCCCCAGCACCATCGTGCTACACGGGGGGGAGTGCGGGGAGCCCTCGGACCCGCTCAGCCTCCCAGCTGATGGAAAATGTCAGCTCCGCAGCCCTGGCTCCGCTCGGGAGGACCACAGATGCTTGCAGCATGGGAGGGAGAGAAGGCAGAGAGGAGCCTACTGGAAAAAATTGCCTTTGCATGCTGTCAATTCTCACTTCCAGCAAAGGCTGTGGATCTGTTGGCTCCGAGCACTCTGCTGGCTGCTGCTTTCTGCGTGCCTTTGTGCTGGTGGAGCCCGTAATTCATCTGCCATCCCCAGAGCAAAAGGACAGAGTTCAGTGTGAATTCCTAGCTAGGAAGGCTTTCACACTCTGCTGGGGAGGAAGAGCCCAGAAAAGCAGCGTGGCCAGAGGTGATGGGCACCCGCAACTCAGCTAAAAGCACAGCAGTGAGCTCTCGGTGCCTGAAAAGGGAAAAAAAAAACAACTCTGTGCATTGCAGGTGCTGTGCAAGGAAGAGTTGGGCCTGGGTGGGATATGGGGTAAGGGTCCTCGCTGGGGCCTCTCCTGACACCCCTCAGCACAGGTGCGATGAAGTTCACAGGCCCGCCTTGGTTTGCACCCGAACAAAACGTGGCTGCATTCTGAAGAAAAATAGACAAATCAGCCAATTCTCCAGCCCTGCATTCAGTGATTAAGCAAGTTCTGCTCTGTGAGCACTGAGGGGCAAAGCCGTGGGCAGCTCAGAGCTGCTCCCCCCCCCTTTGCTCTCCCGACGCACCCAGGACGCAGCCTGCGAGCGCCCCGCGCTGTGGGGCTGCCCGGGCTTGTGTCAGATTTACCCGCCTCACTCTGCTGGTGCCATTTCTTATTATCCACAGCCACAGCTTCTCCCGGTGCTATGACTCGGGCACGGAATACAATTTGCTCGCACAGGCTGAGAACATGCAACGGGAAATGCTTTTCCATGCTACAGTTGAGCAAACGGCGGAGCTCATGGCAAGATGTGGAGATGGAAGATCCGGGAAGAGACGGGACAATGAGGCAGGGAAAAGCCCATCAAGGACAATCAGACCTCGGCCAAGGAGACAGACACCAACCCCACAGGAGAGCCCTACACTGCTGCCTGCAGGAAGGATGAACGAGTGGGAAAACCCCAGGGGCTTGGTGTCCCCCTGCTCTCCTCCCCGTGTGTCTGGCAGGGAACGTGTGAGCGCTGCTGTCTCTGTACTTGGTCCCGTCAGCTTGGTCCCGTCTGCCCACCCCGATGTGCCCAAAACCAGGCGTGGAGCCGGGCCATACCTGAAGGTCATCTGGAACACCTGGCCCTGGTTGACGTGCTGGCTCCTGTTGTTGTAGCCGTGCAGCATCTCCCCGAAGAGCGTGTCGTTGAATTTGGCGTCTGACTTCAGGCACTTGGGGCCCTCACAGATGTCGGACAGCATGAGGCACGACTTGCCGTCGGGGGCCAGCTTGTACTCCTCCACGCACCTGTGGGCACCACGAGCCACGTCAGAGGGACCTTAAACTTAACCCTAACCCTAACCCTAACCCTAACCCTAACCCTAACCTAATCCTAACCCTGTGGGACGAGCAGGGGACAGGCGCTGAGCCCAGCCAGGGACACCGTGGTGCCGCTTGGTGCTGTGCCCTGCAGGGGCGCAGGCTTTCCGAGGACACCAAAACACAGCCACCTCCAGCAGTCCTGTGCTGGGGAGAGCTGCAGCAGGCGAGTGCTGGGCTGGGCATTAATCCTGGCTACTCCTGGACAGCCAGAGCAGTGCTCCAGCCCCGCAGTGGGCCCATTGACAGCCGCAGTGGCTTTCCAGAAGCAAAAGGGCAACCCCATAATGCCTGAGCCCTGTGCCTGGGAATCACCCCTCTGCTGCAGAGCAGAGCTGAGCCCACCACACATCATCTGCTCCGTCCTTACAGGCAGCCCCAGCCCCCTGCTGCTGCTGTGGTGCAGGCTCTGATGTTCCTCAGGCAAAGCAAAATCTGGAGCTGCTTCCCCGTTTCTGTCACATCAGTGCCCTCCTGCAAGGACGCAGCTCCAGGCCAGACGGCTGCTCCTTTGTTCCTCGGTCCTGCTTTCAAGCACTTTGTGGGCAAGGCAGACACTTGTCTTCCACGTACAGCGAGGGAAACTGAGGCAGGCAGCAGGGATGTGATTCAGCTACAGACACCAAAGCGATCCGTGGCAGCATCTGCGTGCGCTCGTGCTGCTCCCCTCCTTCTCCTCCCCTTCTTCTGCCTTTCCCTTGGCACTGCAGCTCCCAGGCAATGAGGAACTTCCACGTCCCCTGCCTGCCCCTTCCCCTCTGCGGTGCCAGTGCTCTGATAACCTCAATCCCACAGCTGCCTGGGTTTGTGCCCCTCTCCCATTTCCCCATTGCATTTGTCCTCCGCAAGTGGAACTCCCGCCTGCCTGCTGTGCTTCTGCCTGTCCCCGCCGTGCAGCTCTGCCTTGAGAAGGGATTATACAAAAAGCAAGGGAAAAACTCTCTGTCCTTGCAGTCAGACAGCTGAAATCCCAGCCCTGCTGCTGGTGCCTGGTGTGGGCTCAGATGGAGACCACCCAACGTCCCCAGGCTTCCCGACCCTCTCCGCGGAGATTGCTGTGCCCGTGTGGATTTCCAACCCCCTCCCAGGCACGGTGGAGGCAGCGTGCTCTCTCTTGGTGACTCAGCCTCTCTGTGCTGCTAAACAATAATAGAGAGGAAGCAAAAATACAGGAGAAAAGAAAGCGAGCAGCTTTCTGACACGGGCAGCTCCTCCCTGGGGAGCGCTGCGGGAGGTCTGTGCAGCACCTGCAGCGCTGGGACTGGTGGGTGCCCCTCGGAGCTGCACACCCGCCCGCTCCCCTCCGTGCTTCTGCACCACCTCAGGGGCAATTCCTCCTCAGAGGGGCTCCTGCTGCCCTCCTGCCCCCTAATCCTTGCCCCGAGGGAGGTTCCTGCGAAGTGCTGGCACCGTGCAGCACGAGGCTGGTGCAGGTGGTGGATGGCAGCTTCTGCAGCCAACAATCACCGCAGGGCACGCCGCAGCCGGGGAGATTTTCCTGAGAGCAAATGCTAAACCGTGTAGGATTATAGGATCCCGGCCAAAATCAGGGATGAAGCTCTATTTTAAGAGAGTCACAAGGGGTGGGGGGAAGCAGCTTTTCAAGAAAGCAAGTCCTCCACCTTCCCCCTCCAACACACCACGTACAATTTCGGGGTACATCGGTGGTGAGTCACAGAGCGAACCGTACCAGTGCGGTCCCGGGGGGGAGATGAGGAGGGTGCATCTGCTCACCCAGCTTCTTGCACTCCTGTTTGCTTTTTTCTGTAGGCAAACCAAGTGGCTGCTGCAAGCCGGCTCCACAAAGAGCCTCTCTGCCGGGCACCCAGCTCGGCTGCGAGAGGGGACGGGAGGCACAGCAGGAGGGTTGGTGATGATGGGGAAGGGAACGGGGTTACTTTAGCTGGGAAGGGGAGAAAAGGGAGCGTGGCAGGGGACTCACCCGCAGAACATGAAGATGGTGCTGGACGAGGGGTCGTGGGGCAGAGGGAGGGTCTGCTGCAGACAGAGCTGCTCGCAGCCGCCGTTGAAGCCGTCCGAGCAGTCGATGCCCTTGGAGTAGTCGTAGCAGCCGGTGCCGTCCTTCATGGGGCGGAGATCCTCGGGGCACTGCAACGGGAGGGCACACGGAGAGGTCACCCTGGGACCCCACGGGACTTGGGGCCACAGCTGGGTGGTTGCCCACAACCCACCCAAGGGCCAGAGGGGGCGAGGAGAGGGAAGAAGCACATCTGGAGAGGGATGGAGCCCCTGTGGCAGCAGAGCTACACGGCTGGACCTGCCCTTGTCTGGCTCAGGACGAAGCCTTGAGCCAGCCTGGGGTAAGCCTGGTGATCTGATCTGCAGCGTGCTGGAGAAACCCCCTGCATTCACTGTCTGCTCCTCCGGGACATCGAGGGGTCCTGTGCAACCCATAAAAACACATCAATGCTTGGGAATGCCAGTGGCTGATACCCACCTGCCTGGGCATCGTCTCCAAATTTACCTCTGCTGCCTCCCTTGGGATAAGGCAGCCGTGGCGAGGACTGGGCCGTGGTGGGGGAAGGACCGGGGAGGCCAGGAGCATACCCCGAGTACTTGGAACGTCTTCCCTCAGCTGAAAGAAGCGTGCTGATTCACAGAAGCAAGGATCTGCTCCTGGGTTTTAATTTTAGTTCCCCAGCTGGCTCTCCTTGTCCCAAAAGATAAAAGCCAGCAGGCAGCAAACGCCATCAATAAATTGTCGCCCAGATTAAAGCCCTCTTCTGTTCCCCTCCCGTTATTTATCCCTTTTCGCCAAGCATGCGCGTGCACAAACAACAACAAAAAGGCCAGTCCTTGAAAAAATAAATAAATCTTGCTGAGGAACAGCTCGCAATTAAAAATGCATTATGGAATTTCTTGAAGATGAGTTAGACCGGAGCTTGTTCAGGTAGCGATGAAGGCAGGTTATAAATGGCCTCTGCCAAGCAGCAGAAAGGTTATAAAACCACTATACTTCGTGCTTAAAAAAGAAAATCAATTTTCCGTGCAAGCAGAACGCCGTACATAGTAATAAAAGTTCAGGAGCCCCCGGACCCTGCGTCTGCTGCCACAGGCAGGGTGCTGGCAGCAGACAGCTGCTGAGCCTGGCTCCTGGCTGCCGAGCAGCAAAATGCTCACAGGGGACACCGGAGAAGTGCCCCGGGGAGGCCTGGCCCAGCCTGGAGAAGCTTCCCTCCACCTCTCAGCGCACCTCATCCTTCCCTGATGTCCCACAGCCCCGAGCCCTCAGCCCCGAGGCTCGCCAGGGCACCGGCAGCGTCCTCGCAGGCAGCGGTACGGTGAGAAGCAGGGGTGAGGGGACGCGGCGAGGCTTTGTAGCCAGGGGATGTGGCAGCGAAGGGCCCGGCCCCACGGTGCTGCTGTCCCTGCGAGGCGAGAGGACAGGCCCCGAGAGGCAGCCCTGGAAGCAGCAGCACGGCCCCGGCACGGCACGGCAGGAGGCACGGGGGCAGGAAGCCGCCTGGCTGCGTAACCAGAATAAATATGAAGGGGGGGGCTTGGAACAAGCTGTGCTTTTCACTGCTGAGCTGCCTGGGAAACAGGACGGGGATAAGAGTGTTTGTGACTCCCTGCACCTCACGCTCATCTCCCGCAGCCTCCTCCCAGCCCGCGGGCCCCGTGGGACGCTAAGGGCTGCGCGGATGGGCAGAGACGCATCTCCCCGAGGACGCGTGGCTCTGCGGCCACATCTCCGCTCCCAGGGCCGGTGTGTCCCAGCAGGGCTCTGCCCAAGTCCCTGCTGGACCTCCTGGGACACCCTGCAGGATGCTGGAGGGAGCTGACAGGAGCTGGAGTCAACAGGAGCTACGGGAGCACAGCCAGGGGACCAGCCGCAGCTCTTCTGCGCTCAGCATCTCCCCCGGGCTGCAGAGGATGACGATGGCTCCTTCCCTGGGACGGTGTCAGTGGGTCACCGAGGGCTCTCCCTGCTTTACCCTGCTCTGCTGGAGGCGAGCCCTCGGGATATCCCTCCCGTTTGGTTTTTAATCACCAGGAAGCACGCTTCATTTCTGTTTGTAATCATGCATCCTAATACGCATTAATTATGGCATGCAAATAGCTCAGCATGAAGCGTGCAAAGGAAAAGCACCTCCGCATCCAGCCCTGTTCTGGCCCTCCAGCCAGCTGCAGGGCTGCAGCACGGAGCTCCCCAGCTTTGGGGAGAAGATGCCAAGGACAGCGAGCAAAACAAATGGGCAAAAGGCAGGGGAGGCAAGAGGCAGCCCCGGGGGCTGCAGGTTTTGGCCTGTGCTTCCCCTGCAGGATGGGTGGTGCTAGCAGAAAGCAGGGGTGCACAAGTGGATGGAGAGATGAGTTGGCACGGTAAAACCTCACTGCAGATCTCCGTGTCGGAGCAGAGGATTTGCAGTGTGGATGTCCCACGGAAAGGTCAGGGCAGAGGGAAAGGTAAATCCCATTTGGGTGCCCCTATGTTCTTGCCTATGGGCTGAGAGTCGGGAATTACCCAGAAAAAAGCTGGGAATGGAAAAAAAAAAGCAACTTCCCCAGCATAGCTGGAGGGTTGCACTGGGCTCCCGGGTGGACTCAGAAAACCAGCACTCGCTCTGTGTTTTCTGGGCTTCGGTACAGGACCATATCTGTTATTGCTGACATTGATTTGTCTGGCTTGGGCAGCAGAGAACCAATAATTACTGAGAGCTTTAATCAATCCCACATCAATTCAGCTGCAGTTCAATTTGTGATCCGCCTTGGCAGTGACACAGGATGGGGGGCTGCGTCTGAAAATGATTAGAAAATCAATGAGTTCCTCAGCCAATAACTCTGTCTGGGCAGTGGCGGGTGACACGTCCCGCCTCGCTCCGTCGGGGAAGCTGGCACGAGGTGGCCCCGGCACCCGCACCAAAACAGGAGCTGTCCTTTTCCTCAGGAGAGCAGAGGGATCCCACCACCATCGGCTGCTGCTCAAAGGATTTCTCTGTTGGGTCGGCAGGGCTCGTGATGCTGGCACCAAGACACCCAGCCCGTCCTTCACTGCGGGATCAGACCAGCAAGGGGATGAACCTCACAGCTGGGGAAGTGGGTTTGGTGCTAGAGAGATGTGGAGAGGCAAAGAGGAGGTGGGGAGAGAGCCCAGCTCACCACTGCCATGGAAAGCCATGGAGAAGACATCACCGTCCCTGATGTAATTCTGCTGTCCTGCAGAACCACTTGGACCACACAGCAATGGTTTAGGTTGGGAAAGACCTTCAAAACCATCAAGTCCAACCACAAGGACGAAGTGGTTTCTCTGTGGTGATGGCTCACCCTGAAAACTGCTCTTGGGATTGGAAAGAAAACTGAGCTTCTTGTCTTCCCGTGCGTTATCACGGATAACACAGATTGTGCAGACCCACAGCCACAAAGCCACAGCCCTGCTGCTGCCCAAAGGTTTGTGAAGGCAGAGCCCATGGCAGCTGGGCGCACATTTTGCTGTGCACGGGTCGACTTTGGCTCTTCCTCCTTGTCCGTGCTGGGCAGAGCCCCGAGGTCCTGATTATTGTCACTGCAGTCAGCCAGACAGACTCTGAGTGCACCCAGGGAGCAGAGATGCTGAATAAGAAGTGCTATTTTTACCTGGTTTTCGGAGCAGCGTGCCTTTTACCCTTTTAAATGAAGTCACCGAGGTGACACGGAGAGGCAGAGGGCGCAGGAGCCCTGCCTGCATGTGCTTGGGTGTCCTCAGGCCGTGTAAAACCAAACGGGATCCCCATGCCCCACGCTGTCACCCCAATGGGACATCACCGCGGGGCCACCTCCTGCCAGGACCCTGCACCAAGCCCCTGCCCACTGCCACCAGTCCCCAGCCAAGCCAGGGCAGGCCCGGCGGGAGGAAGCCCCTCTCCGAGGGGCAGAAAGCAAGCACCCACCGCAACCCGAACGAGATTGTTTCTTAGGAAAACATCTGCCTGCACTGTTTGTGTTAGCGAGCAAAGGCCCTTCCTTTTCTCTCTTGTTCGCAAAGCTCATTAGCAGCGAGACGGGCGGCGGGGTCACTGCAAACAAAACGGGAGCCTCATTACCGGCACCGAGCCCCTCGCCGAGAGGAGCCGGCGCTGCCCCAGCACTGCCTGGCAGCTCTCACAGCCCCGCTCCTCTTCTCTGTTGTTAAAAAAAAGAAATAAAAATATTTAATAAAGTGTTCCAGTAGAGAGCAAACTGCCCTTTTTGTTATTCCGCTCTGTTTTCTCAACTTCAGCAGCCTTTTTGTCAGAGACAGCAGCCGGGACTTCTCCCACACAGGCTCCCAGTCCTCGGCACGAGCTGGGGACCCCGTGGGGGACCCTGCAGATGTGGCCAGACACGAGGACCTGACCCCACAATGACGTCCTGGTGCCTGCAGCCACCAGGAGTGGGATTTACAGCCCCCAGTCCCTCTGTGACGTGCTCAGGGCAGTCAGAGCACAACTGGACCAACTCCTCCTTGGCCAGACGGACAGAGGAACAGAGCTGCTCCAGTATCTGCTGCGTGTAAAAGGGCCCTAACGAACCCACCTTCGTTAGAGACATCCTTGCTCAGCGCTGAGGAGCCTCTCCAGTGAGAAACAAAACCATTACTCCGAGGCACCGCCGAGGAACCAGCAAGTGCCAGCATTTTAATGAGCCCCACGCTACGCGCTGGCGTGTGTTTTATTTGCTTGTTGGAGCTCAGAAATCATACAAACGCCTCACGCTCCTTTGTGCCCCTCCACGGATATCCAGACAGCTTTGGCTCGTTCTGCCTCCGCTCCCTTGGCACCCGAGGCCCCTCGGGGCTCTGCCTGCCCCTCTCCTCTCCCTTCCTCGCCTCCCCGCGCAGCGATGTCCTCGCTGTCCCCGAGCCCCACCGCAGGGAGCATCCTTCCCGCAGGGCACCGTTCCAGCTGTTTGCTGAAATCACAGGCATTATCTTCCTGCTCTTTTCTCCCTGTTTCCTTTTCCATCCCAAGGCCATCAATCATTACTGTAGCCACAGAAAAGCAAACCCATCTGTCCTGCAGGTCCCACAGGCTGCTCAGGCTCCTCGGCGTGTCCCCAGAGCACCCTGCCAGCCCGATTTGGGGCACTGCTGCTGGTTCCTGCCTGTCGGAGTGCTTCTCTTCCCATATGCACGGGAGAGCCTGGCACCTCCAAAACTCTTTTGGGAGACCAGAAATTCAACCACAGCCTCGCCTGGCCCCAGGGCACAAAGCTACGTGCCAAAATCAGTGACCCCAACCAAAGCCAAGGACCCAAGGCGGGTGTGATGTGCCCAGGACACACGAAGCATCCCAGCCTGCCGGGCAGCAGAGGGCTGCCGCTAGCTGGTGACCTCTGAAGAATGTCACAGCAAGAGAAGAAGGAGAAGAAGGGGTTTTATCTCCTAAATTTCCTCTTTCCAGCACGGGCAGAGAGCGCCAGCTCACCTCAGTGCCTCCATCTCAGCGCCGAGGGCTTCTGCTTCCAACCACAATATGCATAAGTAGCAATCTTCTGCTTCAAGGAGCCAGCTAAACTTTAAAGGGATTAGAACAGAGCCGTCCCCTCCCCACTTCCCTCCCCTGCGTGTTGTGCATCTCTGCATAATTAGCTAGGTGCCTCTTAAGGCAGGGACGGATGAGTTTTTATTTTTCAACGAACAATTGTCTGTCGGAAAATGCAGATTTGATGAAGCTTAAGTGCTTTATGGGATTTCATCAATTACAACTCAAAATTCATTGGGAAATTAGGAAAGCGTTTAATTTTGACAAGGTTGAAATGTTTTAGTTTCCACTGCTTAATTTTGTTTTTATTTCAGGCTGTACACCGGGATAATGCCATATATAACATAAAGCTCCAGATGATAATGGTGGAACGAAACATTCCCCCCTCCTTCGTAGGAAGGAGATGTTTTGAACCAACATATTCTTGAATTTGTGCATGGGGGGGTTTCTGCACTGGTTTTTGGTTTGGGCTGAAGCTCCCGGACACCCAGCGTCCCCAAAGAACACCAGTGCTCAGCTTCACCTGCTTCATTTTGCAGAAGCTCCCCGCTCCCCTCGGTCCCCAGGAAGCCCCTGGATGGCTCGTGCTGGAAGGAGAGGCCCTGGCCCGCTCCCTCCTTCCTAATCCCATTTCTCTGTGGAGTGGTTACACTCCTAAATTAAGCCATTTCTCTGCACCGCTTTGCAGCAGCCGGGGAGCAGCCCATCATTTTGATGCGGAAGAGAGCAAAAGAGAAGGATTAGCTCCAGACAGGCTGAGCTAAGGCTTACGCGTCCGTGTGGACCATGCCAAATTCTCTTCCTTCCATGTCTAAGAAGGGCAGGAGTGACACAGCACGGGTGTCACGGCACGGGCCGCGAGGTAATTAAGAGCCCATCTCCCTTCTGCATGCCGTGGAGACAAACCCTCTCCTACCTGATGGGTTGACCCCGTGGTCATGAAGAAGAGCAGATTACATTGTGCTTGTGGCCTTTTTTTTTTTTTTTCTTAAATTAGGAAAAAGAATTTTGCTATCAGGAGCTCAGTCTGATGGTGCTCCAAGTCTGACTTGCTCCTCCTGTACAGCTCCTCCTGCCTTGTTGGGATCCCTGGACAATGGCACAACCCTCACACAGCACTCAAGGGGCAGAGCAGAGCCACTGGATTTAGGGATGCTCTCTGGGATTTTGTTTTCCTGGGAAATGCCCATGGCTTCCTCTGACCTGTCAACAATATGGAAACAGAGGCGTTTCCTAGAGCCTGGGGGTTATTTTTTTGCGTTGCAAAGTCGGGCTCCGAGGCAAGGCTGCGGTTAGCAGTCCCAACCACAGGTATAGCAAGGAGGCAGCTCTCACTGCCGAAAATGAAGCAAGGAATAAAAATCCTCCGATAAGTAAAGAAGCGCAGAAAACCATTAAGTACTAATGCCATCTACTGGGTACGAGGAAAAATAACAGAAAAAAAAACATGAGAAGAGGGAAAAAAGAGACCCCGGTGGGAATCCAGCAGCCGTAGCCCTGAGAATCACCCTTCCCATCCAGAGCCCAGTGCTGAGACTGCGGCTCTGAGCCCCGGGTCTCCCAGGTGCCTTACCAGGGCAACGTGCTCGTGTCCCCTCCAGGAGCCCAAGGAGCCCGACCTGGGAGAGCCCCCAGCCAACATCTGCAAGCATTTGCCCCCGATGTCTTAAATGTGTCCCTTGAAGACCAAACAATTAGGTAATGGCAGGGACTGCGCCGCTAAAAGCCCTAAGACAAATGCATCCTCGCTCCCCAGAATTACTGGAAGCTGTGTTCAGGGCATGAAGGAGCTGGTAACAGATGATGATTATAAATAAAAGGAAGAAGAAATCTTTGAGATTTGCGCTGTTCCCTGGTTGAGCTGCAAGGCTCCGGCTCTGGTGGGTATTAATTGCTTACAAGCCCACATGTATATTTTATGCTCAGTACCTGCCTGGAACATTTGTTGGATTTAGCCTTGATTGATGAACCACTGATTATATACTTCTGTGGTCCTGGGCAAATTAATAAACTGTTGACTGGTAAAGATTAACAACATGTCATGATTTGAGAAGCAGTGTCCAGAGTGAAGCTGAAGCAAACCTAGTGCTAAAATTAGTATGCGAGTGCTCCCTGAACTCTATAAAAAGGGGATAGTTTAATTAAATTACATCCCGATATTGCCCATAGCACTTACCAAATTGGCAAATTGAGTTCACAGCAGTTCAGCTTTAAAACTAACTGACATCCCTGCAAATGTGCAGCAAATGACCCCATCCCTGCTGGCACTGGAGAGCCAGCTCACGCCCGCAGCTTGGGGAGGCAGCTGGGGAGGAGACGCTGGCACCGAGACCGGGGCCGGGGGGGACTCAAGGTCACGGCCAAAGGTTGTGGCTGGGTCAGAAACTCAGCTCCCACCACCTGCAGTCCCACCCTGCGCCACAAACACAGCCTGCAGGGAGCCCGGATTGGGGAATCGCTAGGTTTGGATTTTTTTCTTTTTTTTTTTGAGCTTTTTTTTTTTTTTTTTCCCAGGAAACAGCCACGTTTGCTTGCAGTGCTGCAGTTCCTGGGCACCTGCAGGGCACCGATGGGTGTAAAATCCTGCATGAACAGCAGTGGGGTGCAGAGCAGGGGCGAGGTGGCTGCACCCCAGCACTGCTGCATCCCCAAACTCCCTGCCCGGCTCCTGCCGAAGCTCCACACCAGCAGGTGGGATGTTAGGGAGAAAGGCAATTTCCCGAGCAACAGAGCGTGAGGCCGTTTGCAAAGCAGCTCCGGCGTGTCTCCACGGGGAGGGCTGCCTTAAATCCCCCAGCATCACGTCGGGGATGAAAGCAGCCCTCCGTTATGGGGCTCAGCACTGCTGTCCCCAGGCTTTGGGGTAAAAGGAGCCACGAGGAGGGACGGGCATTGCTGAGACCGTCTGGTGTGATGGGGGGCACGGGGTCCCTGGCACCCCCAGGGTCCCAGGCAGCACCCCTAGCCCACAGCCCTGGGGGAGCAGCAGGAGGTGACTCCCCGCTCCTTCCTCCCAGCCTTCCTGCCAGACGTGTTTTGTTCTCCTTAAATACAGCCTCGTTTAGCCATTACAAAAGCAGGGGGGGTTATTTTCCCTGAGTGACACAGTTTTCAATTTCTGCCGCTCTGTGTGCCGGCACGGTGAATGCTAGGCCTGTAATTTATTGACAATTTCTATCTTAATATATCTTGACTTTTAAAAAGAGGCATCTCTTCCCAGCGGCACAGGGCAATCAGAGCCCCGATTGTTTCTGACAGTGTCTGGGAGGCACATTAGTTTCCAGAGCAAAATGACACCCAAAAAAAAGGAGAAAAAGGAAAAAAAAAAAAAAAAAAAAGCCTGAAAGCGAGCCCCTCCCTGGAAAGGGCCAGAACAAAAGAAAACAACAATGGCAAAAGAAAGCACGAAAGGGGGAGGAATAGGAAGGAGGAGACGCGGGCGCTGCAGGGCCGAGCGCTGCTGTGACACATCAGGCTGCCGTGCTAAATGGCCTTAACAAGCAATCGGAGAAGGGGATAATGAAAACGCCACCCCGGAGACGGCACCACTCCAGCCTGACCTTTCCAGGCTGCTGCCGTGTATAAACATCTTCAATAAATAAAGAGACACTTAACTCCTGCCTCGGCGGCGGGCAGGGGTGACGGGCGCAGCCTGCGGGAGCTGGGGGCCGTGGAGCAGGGGCTGGGGGCAGCTGGTGCCGTGCTGTGATCCCCTGAGATCCCCTCCGATGGCATTTCCCCTCTGGGCAGCTGTACAAGCATCCCCGTGCTAATCCTTGTCTTGTTCTGGGCAGATGGAGCCGTGATGCTCCAGCTTCCCCTGGCAGTTTCCCGAGGCTCTGCCCCCTGCCCCGTGGTTCAGGCTCACTCCTCGCCCCTACCAGCGGTGTCGTTGCCATCAGGAGAGGGGGCAGAGCCGGCTGGTGTGCTGAGCCCCGAGCCAGCCTGCTCAGAAGCACAGCAAAAACCCTCTGTGCATCGATAGCTGGGAACAGCTCAGAGCATCTGCCCCAAATCTGGGGTCTGAGAGGGCTCTGGGTGCAGCCGGCTGTCAGGTCAGATGTGAGCGTGTTCAGAAACGGATCAAAATATCTGCTGTACTCAGCGTGCAGCCCAGAGCAAGCAGCAGCATCCCCTGGGTCCCATCCCCGGGACGGCCGCGGTACCTACCACGCAGCCCGTCGAGTCCACCTTGCGGTCCGACACGCACTTGAAGTTGCGGGTGCAGCCGCCGTTGTTGCGGGAGCAGTCCCGGACCGGCCCGAAGGAGGAGAGCAAGTCATTGATGGTTTCGAAGTAGGTGGACAGCATCGCTTCTTCCCTTGGAGAGAAAAGGCACCGTTAGAGCGGGCGGGGAGGGACGGGGAGGCAGGGGCAGCGCCACACCGCATCCACGAGGAGGGCTGCTCTGGCAAAACCACGGCATGAGAGGAACAAAACTCGGTCGGGGGAAGTGTGCCAAGAGCACGAAGGCTTGATGACCTTGCTGCATAATTCATTCGCTGCACAGCTTTGCCATCCTTGAGAAAAATCAGCCAGCTCTGAGGTTGCCAGGTCTACCTGCCTGCCATTCCCGTGCGAGCTGCCCGCTACAAGGGGCCTGGTTGGTATTGCTGGTGGGGAACCAGCCCCGTACGAGCCAACAGGGAATCCACAACAGGGAAACTCCTCATGGAGGTTTTACACCTGAGCCAAGCCTCCCTGAGCACCTGCACCCCATCCATCATGTGGGGATGTTCCTTAGGATTTAAAGCCACACAAAACGTAGCTTGCTGGGATGTGGCCGGGGGATGCTCGTGCCTGCGGGGCTGGGGACCCCAGCGGGGTTTGGGAGTGTCTGGGCACAGCTTCTCCACCACGTCCCTGCACACCCTGGGCACAGCTGTGCTCTGAAACGTCTTTCTTAAATGTGCGAGAAACGCTAACGCTGATGAATTCAGTGGCCATATAAAGACTTGAGAAGCTCCCAGCCCTGCCTCTCCGAGCTGCGCATGCAGCAGATTTTGTCTGTGACAAAGTACTCGGCACTTTGTGCTGGGTTCTCGCTAAGGGAACGCAGATGCTTGTTGAGAGCTCTGAGCATCTCTGAGGTATTTGTCATCTGCAGAGCATGTTCCGTGCATTAACAGATTGCCGCAACCCATCTTGGGCACCGGATCCGGACACCGACAGCAGCGACGCGTGGGAGACGAAGCGCTTTACCCAAGGTCAGGGAACAAGTCACTGATGGAGATGGACCTGCCCTCCGCAGGCTATTTATTAGATCTTTATCCAGAGGAGGCTGCAAATAAGCACTGACCTTCCAGCCTTAAACCACCCGCGAGGCAGTGCCGGCAGCCACACGGCGCTGCCACCGCCCTGCGGCACCTCCCCTGCTCTCTGCTCTCCCAGCGGCACCAAACAGCCCGCACGGCCACTCGATGCCCGCTGCTACGCTCTGGTTTTGGAGTTTTTTAACTCAAAAACCTCACGCTTGGCAACAGAACGGCAGAGGAGGAATATTCAGCAGTCCCCGAGGACGGTGGTGGAGCAGCGCTGCGCCAGCCGTCAGAGGAGGGCCCCTGCGCACACAGCCGCCGTCACGCTCACGCACGCAGCCCTGCCAACACCCAGCGCTGGAAAAAGCATGAGTCAGGCCTTAAAAAAAATGGTAATGAGATTGGCATAAAAACGATGAGATTTTAAAAATAAATCAATCATTAGGAGGGTTTTTTCCTTAATTTGCCTTCTGCTTTCTGAGCCTTTAGGACGTAATTGAGTTTCTTTTCCCCTGCAAACGTGCACGCCAGAAATCATCCGAAGACCAAACCCAACAAAAAGAAGCAGATTTCAAGTTGAGTTCTGACAGATTTAGGATTTTCAGGCAATTCTTGGATTCCAGAAGCCGGGACTCACTGTCTGCACTGCCCGCTTTCACCCCAATTAATGCTTACCAATTAACTTTTCCCTTTTGCTTATCTCGTTTCCCATATTCCCCCTCTCTTGGCCCATCTCCTAGATTTTCCAGTATATTTGGAGCTGAATCTCCCTCTGTCCTTTCTTGGTCATGTTTCAAATATCTTTAGAGGCCCTTTTCTATTAGCACTCTGTTCCCACCAGAATTTGCAGCTCCTCCGAAGTGAGGGAGTGCGAAAGGCAGAATATATTAGATCAGGGCGCATATTTCTGCGGGAGGGAAGTGGGGAGAGAAAGGGCATATTATTCACTAACCAAAAAATAAAAAAAATCAACCAAAAAATCCACATAAAAACTTGATGACTCCCCCACCAGCCACACGGAAAGCTCAGCCCCACCTGGGTTGGATGCTGAGCACATCGGGACCGCACTGGGCTTTAATTCCAGCCTGGAGGCACAAACGCGGGGAGGCTCACGCACCTGCTGCAATCAGAGGGGGGAGCAGGAATCTCACTCTCCAAAACGGTGCCTGGCATCATGGATCACCGCAGAGGAGCCTGAATGAGCCATTAAGAGCATTAAAATATTAACATCTCTGGGAGGTGGGGAAGCACAGCTGGAGGCACGCGTTGAAATGTCACCAGCCCCAGCCAGGCATCCCCAGCCCCTCTGCCTCTTCCCCTCCAGCTCCTGCCCTTGATGCTGCCCAGGCCCCCACTTGGGTGCCCACTCCTCCAGGGGAAAATGGATGGTATTTTACCAGTATTTTACGCCTGTCCTGAGCGTAGCCAGAGCACCAGAGCCTTGCTGTGCCCGTCAGGCTGAGCTTGCCATGTGTGGGCAACTGGAGAGTTGTCCAAAGGCAGGGGATCCTGGAATGGAGAGGACGGGGAGCTCTATGCCCCACACAGGTTGTATTTACTGTGTCACACACCTGGAGGCAGTGGGAGATTTGAAAGGTGTGTGCCCTGCTCCAAAAAGCAACAGAAAGGTGGAGCAGGGCAGCGGAGCAAAATTTTCCTGCATGCCCGAGCTCCTTAGTGCTGTGCCACAGCCACGTGGAGAAAATGGGACACCCCCATGGGGTCCCCGACCCTGGCACGCCGGGAGGATGGGGCAGCTCCCCACCAGCCCCAAGAAAGCATTAAGGACTGTCAAAAGGGCATTTAGGTGTGAGTGACCTGGTTTCTCACACCAGATTCCCCACAAGCACACGCACACCCGTGAACACTCGCACACTCGTGCTTCACTCCCCAGCCCTCCAGGCACCCCCAGACACCCAGGTGATATTTTTCAATGAAATGCACTCTGCTCCCTGCCAGAGCCCGCCGATCACACAGCACACCTCGGTAAAACCTACCCTCCTGGCAAGTTATAACACCACAAGGGGTCCGTGCAGCATGGCACAGCAGCCCTGCTCTCCGCCACACCTTGCACAGCTCCCGCACAGGACCGTGGTGCCCACCCTGTGCCACCTCCTGTCACCTGTGTGTGTGTCACTTCACTCCAAAATGCTTTCCTCTTCAACCTCATCACGGCTCCGCATCCTCCCCCTTTGTTCCAGGCCCTCATTAATGAAGCAGATTCAGTGACAAATATTGCTGGGGGTTATTTATTCATGAAATATCAACACCGTGCAATTCTCAAAGCCTCCAAAGTGCTCATCTCAGAATAAGCTCCTGAGCATCACAGTGGCTCTGCTCTCCAGCTCATCTTGGAAGGGGATTAGTGGGTGTTATTCAACTCAGCTGCCCCTTTTTATTGCCTACTAATGGTTAAAGACTTCAGCATCTTACAAGGTTAACCATCACTGAGAAAAACAAGGAAGAAAAGGAGGCAAGCTGGGACTTAGCTAGCGCTGCTCCACCATCTGCTCCCCGAGCTGTGTTTGGAGAGGGATCAGGCGGGAGGTTTGGGGCCCATGCCTCCCTGCATGCTGCAGTGCCAAGGCAGCGTCACCCCTAGGAGACACCGTGGTGCCCCACGTGGAGCACCCCATCGCTCTTCTGCACCTCGTCCTCCCCCAGGAGCAGGGCCACGCACAGGGGATGTCACTGTCACCCCGGTCCCACACCCAGACAGGCCCTGGCTGCCTTCAGCTGCAGGGAGCAGCATATGGGGGGACATGCCTGGCCCCCAGACCCCCATTTCCTACTTCCATCAAGACCCCCCTCGGGGACCTTACCAGCAGATGCACTTGCAAAAGAGTACTTAGCAATGCACACCCAGATTCTCCGTTTTTCAGCCCAACAGATGCTTCCCTGAGCAACTTTGACCGGTTCCTGGCCATGAAGCTTCTGTGCTGCAGGTGTGGGGAAAGGGCTGCCCTCCTTGCTGCTGCGAGGTGTCTCCCTGTGCAGCCAGACATTAAATCCAGATCCCCCCTGCATTTCCCCTTCCTTCTTGGCATCTCACCCAGGGGATGGATTTACCCTGAGCAATACCTGAGGTCCCCAGCTATGCCATGAGCACTTATTTCCCCCCATGCATAATGCTTTCAGAGGACCACCTGTGCTCTCACCTGCTCCTGTCTTTCTCTCTCCTTTTCCTTTTCCCCTCACGTCTCTTTTTCCTCTGCTAAAACAGCCAGCACTGAAATCATTACTGAGGGTGCTGAACTCTGCATCGAGCTGCAGAGCAAACCGCTCGGAGGAACCACTGGGACCAGGGATGCCAGAGCTGGGGGAGCCCCTGGGTGCCTGGCTCGGCGCTCGTGGAAGCTGGGGAGCTGGGGAGGGCGAATGCTCTCAGCTGCGAGTTTGAAAGATCAGCCCTGAGAGGGAATTGCAGCCTGTAGTGGAAGCCAAGCTCACTTAGTCCTTTGTCCCTGGCTTGCGTCAAACCCCGGCGATGCAGAGCTCCGGGAGGCTGAACAACGCCGAGCACAGCTCGTTACAGAAACGACGCGCTTCCCAAAGCCGAGAGTGTGCTGCAAAACCAATAATCACATTTTGTAAAATACAACTTACATACATATGGAGAAGCATTACCTCTGCAAAGCAGAGCCTGCAGACACGAGGTGTCAGGATCTGACCGGCTCAGCTGCGTGCAGGCAGGACACGAGGTGTCCACGCTCATCTGCATGGCAGGGCCATGCTGCTCCCCAGGGATTTCCCTTCCCTGGGGTCAGCCAAAGACCCCAAAGCCCCCTCTACATTACTTCATTTTCACACCTCTGTCCACGGTCCTGGTATTACTTCATTCACGATCACGTTGGGGAATGAAGGCAATGAGAGAGAGGGATTAAAGGTGCTCGCCACTGTTGGGTCTCCAGCTGGAGATGCTGTCAAAGTTATTTACAGTACTCCTAGCACTTCAGGTGCTCGTGGCACCATTCCAGCTGGTTTCATCATGACACAGGCTCAGCAGTTTTGTATAAAGAGCTGTGCAGTTAAACATCCAAACTATGACAAATGTGCAATAAAT